CTTTTGTTATCCTCCTCCAAGCTTCGGGCCACTGATTCATTCTCAGAGAGAGTCATCAGTTTCATCATCCAACAACTCAAAGTTAATCCATCCATCATCATCCATTTCCTTATCCTCAAATTGCTGCCTCGAGTAGCACCGATTGGGCCGATCAAAGACCTTGCCGCTCAAGTCTCCAGATTTTGTTCTAGGTTTCCACCATAGTTTTCAAGGTGTCTAGGCGATTCTGGGCAACACTAGGGCGCCTGGCCGCCTAGTCGCCGCCTAGGTGGGGCACCTAGGCGATAAAAATTTTATAATATAAAAAACTGACTTTTGGCTAGTTTCCTAGTTTTATATACCATTCAGCATGTATGTTAATTGAAAAAATAGAAATTCTATTTATTAAGAACACTAAATTTCCTCTAAAAATGTGGCAAATCATCACATCTAAAAGATAAAAATCTTTTACATATATTAATTTCATTATTTTCGAAAATAATACTACTATAATAAGTATTTAATAGAGCAAATTCATATTAATTAGCAGCTAAAGAAGGTTATTAACTTTATATGATAAATATTCAGGATAGAAAGTAAAACAGAAAAGAAAAACAAGGATGGAGTTTCTGTTAGAGAATAGAAAAAAAGAACTTTATTATTCTATTCTTTCTTTCCTCTTTCTTTTCTTTCTTTTTTTCTTTCTTTCTTTCTTTTTCTCTCCTCAAAACCCTTTGATCTTTTAAATTTCAATAGTAAAACATTAAAACAAAGTATAATTGATATATATAGCATATAATAAAATGTATTAACACATACATTAATAAGATACAGCAATATAAATGATATTATAAAAGGCGCCTGCCTTGTCATTTTTGTTGCCTAGGCAGGAGCTTAGTCGCTTAGGCGGGAGCCTAGTTGCTAAAAGTCAAGGCGTTTGGGTGAGGCGCCCAGCCAAGGGCACCTAGGCGATGCCTTGACAACTATGGTTTCCACTATAAGGATTGCTTAGCCAAACTCCCTAATACAGTCTTCGACTGCGACTCTTTTGGGAACGAAGATAGACCCAGATCATTGTCTATTGGTGCCCCAAGAGTCTTTTACCCCACATGACAACTAAAGGATCCACATGATCCAGTCCCACTAATAACTTTCTCCGGCCGGTTCAGATTACAGATTGGTTTAACCAGTTCCCTGACTAGCTTACACCAAGGTTCTTTTTGTCTGGTTGATATAATTGGTCCGCGAGCCAGCTCAGAAGTTGTCCCCCTTTTTAAAACCTCAAAAAAATAAGGCCCTTCTCTTCCCTTCTCACTTTCAAATAAATTTGAATTCATTCCCATTTTCGCCCAGGCAACGCTTCATCTTCCAGCTTCCAACCAATCACTTTCCCCAGGCAGATTGCCGCTTCCCCTTCCTTCTTCAACCTGTTTCCTACTGCCACGTGAGCGTCCTGTAACCACCTCAGCATCGTTGTCTTCCTCGGTACAACCCTTCCACAACCAGCCTTCTGGTTCAGTCGCCAGCCAGAATGTTTGCCAAATACCATTGGAACAGAGAGCCAAAGAGCATGGGACCTCCTCCGGCCTGATTCCTGAAACTCTAGCACTTACTGCCTGTAGGTGGATGAGATCAAAGTCTTCCATCACACATCCTAACGACCCTGCTATTTCATCAAGGGCCTTCTAGTTCCAAAGGTTGAAAGGCAGCAATACAAGTTTTACTGTGAACATACCCGTCAAGATCTTCTGTTCATTGCACGACATTTGCCAAGTCTCAATCCGGACAAGTCCTTCACCAGTATCAATCAATGAGGGCTCCACCAGACCAACTCCAATGTCTAGAATTGCTCTTGTTTCACTGAAGGGTACCGCCACCACCGAGGACTTGATTTTAAACTTCTCTACAATCAAGTCCACAATCAGTTGGCAGCCCACAATCTTCTTACTAGAAATCAAAACCCACCTCTGCTCCCACACCCCTTTACCAACCTCCATCTTCAACTTCTGAACCATCAGAGAGTTTGAAATAATTAAGTCTTGCTGTTGATTAAGTTCAGCAGAAACAGAGGGGATTGATTTTTCCCCATTCACTGTAGTGGCTTCCTCAACAGCCAACTTCTCTTTTCTTTCGCCTGTCATGGCCTGTTTACATGTCTCTCTTTCTGAAAGGTTAACCAGGTAATCTTGAAGTTTTTTTGTCAGAAGCTTCCATCCTTCAGCCTTCTTACCTTTTGGAAAACAGATTGTCTGCCTCTTCCCATCTCCAAAGAACTCGGTAAGTGCAACAAACAATCCTTTGCTATTACATTTCAACTCAGCTTGGGCAGTTTTTCTAGACAGCACCACTTGATTCTTCCACCCGTTTCTTTTCACGGAGTGGATTGCTCCACGGATCCACCAATGAAGCCTTTCAGCCACAGCATAGCTTCACTGACAAGAAACACAGTGGCCCTCTTCTCTTCTCGAATCTTCAGAGGGCAAATACCAGCAGTTCTGCAATCCTCAAACAAAAACCTTTTTGCTTCAAACTCCATTTCCCTTCTCCACCTGGTGAACCAAAGGAACCCAGCTTCTCCTCCTTCGTCATCTACTCTGAGAAAGTATTACAGTTTCTCCATGCTCTTTGGAAATTAAGAAAATAACCTGTTTACAACCATCTGTTGTAAACAGATATCACTTCAGGCTTTTGGATTGAACCTGACTTACCTTCGGACATGGGAATTAGCTCAACTTTCAATTTGGAGGATCTGTTTCCTTATCGAGGCACCTTCAAGGCTCCTACTCTACCTGCAGGTGTGCCCAATTCTAGGTATTCATTGAGTGATTCTAGGTTAACTCTTTGTTTCATCTCTCCTAATGTATAATCAGCATTACAATTAACAAATGCTATCAAGTTATAGGGAAAAGGAGTTCAATAAACATAGGCAAGAACTGATTCAGGTACATCCCTTTAAGCAACAAGTAACTATAGATCCTTCACAAGTTTATCCAGAGAGAGAAACTCTTCTCTTGATTGATCCCTTCTAGAGTGGATAAAAACCCAACCTAATCCAGCTGCCTCTCACTCACCTTTAAGACCACCCATAAATATCCCTCTGGAGCAATTTTAAAAATTTCCAAGCTTAACCCTAATTTCTAGAATTTTCTCCAACTCCCATTCTACCCAGAATTTTCATCTTTTTGTGCCAAACTCTGTTGAATTACCTTTAAAATAATCACCTCTTACATAGAACTATTCTAAGAATATCTGCAAATGCTTGGTGCTATGGAAAAATGTTGGATTCACAAGCAATGACACAGGTTTGAGTCTGAGAATGGACACCTTGTGCTAAATTCAGAGTGGTTGGAAGATGGATGCGGAGAAGGGATTCAGAGTGGTTGGAAGATGGTGTTCTGAAGTAACAATGGAAGCCAAGTCATTCAAGTTGTAAGAGGAATGGACCAAAGATAGTTGTGCTCTGAAAATCAGAGAGAACAATAAGGCAACAATATTGGTGCCGGAGAAGGTCGTTGTATGGGTGAAAGGATTCATGGATGGAGCTATCAACTCGTTTAAGGAGGAAGGGTGGAAAAATACTATGGCAGTTCCAGGAAAAACCTTTGTAATCGAAGTAAGGAGAAATACTAAGGGGTGGTTCATTACTGTGACTGAGCTTATTGGATTAAGGGGAAAACAGATGATTTGCTTACCGGAAGGTAAAAGGCAGAAAGGTTGGTTGGTCTTTGTGGAGGAGTTGCAGGCTTTCCTTGTGGCTGTGGAACGGAAGAAGAAGAAAGACGAGAAGGCAGTTGTCCAGAATTCAAAAGCTAGTGACCGAAAGGTTCAGATGAAGGAGGGTGTGGTTGGAACCAGTGGGAGTGTAGAGGTGCATGGACCTACTGCTCCTGGTGTGGCAGTTGCCTGCTCCTCTGTACATCAGCAAATTTTGGTGGGTGATGGCACAGATTTTTGGAGGAAATGGCTGGTGCTAGTGGCTGACAGGAGTGTGAAGGATTGGCAGAAGGTTCTGGATACTGTAGCTAAGGAGGTAGATTTGGAAAATGAAGCCAGTTTGTTTCCATTTGCAGAGACGAAGGCGATTCTTGATGTAAGCGACCAGGAGCTTTGTTTCAACACGGTGGTTGTGGATAGCTGCCTCTTTCAGCTTCAGAACTGGAGCCCTCTCTGCAACAAAGTGGAGGTGAAAGAAGGCTGCTTACAGCTGAAGTTGTTAGGTCTTCCCTTCAATCTTTGGAGGGACTCTGTTCTTGAACAGATTGCTCGTTGCTTGGGTGGGGTGCTGATGGAACCAACAAAAGAAGTCTGGGGGCAGTCCATGTTTTGGGCACAAGTGTAATTTTTTTGTTCTTGGGAGTGTTTAGCTCCTTTCGGAAGATAAGAAAGTTTATCTTCCTCTCTGTAATTCTTTTGTGATTAAGTAATGAATTGTTGTTATTGATCAATAAAAAAAAAAGAATATCTGCAAATTTCACACTAAAATTTCTTTTCTGAACTTAATTATTGATTTTCTTGATCACTGGTCAACTTCCTCCCTCCCATATTTCATTTATTCTAGTTTCCCATCGGTTGTGGTCATGACCTAGGCCTGAAGCCCTCCCATTATCTTCCTTGTTAAGCTAGGAAGTTTCTTATTCTTTTTCCTACTTAGGATCTGAATAAAGGCTAAAATTGTTATCTGCATTCTGTTTTGCTTGTTTTAAAATAGGAGTGACGTTTAATGTAGTTCTAAGGGTTTCATCCACATATCCAATGTCCAAAAAGTTGATCTTTTCTTTGTTCAAACAAGTTCCCTGACACCATCCCATGTATCACACAAGTTCACAGTGGTAAAATTTTTCAGTTCAACAAGTTTCATTTGTTTTTCAGGTTTTGCTTTACCTCATAGAAGAAATAAGCTACAAAATTGCAGTGGCTTCACACCCATTGTAGCTATGTATAATTAAAGCAAATCAAAACTTCCACCAACTTAGATGTGAAGTGAAGGTCATCTGTAAACCCTAAAGAAAGCAAGTTCTTACCTCTCAAGCTTAATATAGATGCTTGTTGAAGCACGATATAAATCAAATGCCATTTGTTCTTTACCATCCTCTTCAAGAATGACACAAGCATCAGTAAACATCCGAATAGCTTCCTCAGGAACAGCATTTTCCAGCTCACTATGTAAGAGATATAAAAGCTCTATCAGCATCTTAGTATTTCATGAGAATATACCAACAATGACAGAGTTGACAAGACAAAGCACAATTTCCTTGATCCAGAAATTGACATGATAAACTCTACAGAGGTTTAAAGCAATTATCTATAATGATAACTTGAAAAAGAAAAGAAATAATGACTTAATTGGATAAGGCTAAATATACCATACATTAACATCAAAACCTCAAACAAAAGAACTTGATCCTGCAAACATTTGTCATTCAAAATTCTATGGTGATTTTAGAAATTTTTCCTTCATAAGGATTACTAGGAAAGAACCGAATTATGATTCATCACCACCACCATCTAAGCCTTATCCCAATTATGTGGGGCCGGCTACATGAATCCTGTTTCGCCAGTTCAGGCTCCATGACCATAAGAGCTTGCAAAAGAACAGAAATATGACTAAAATTCAAAAAAAATAAAAGCTCAATGCAATAATCCATTAGTAAAACATCATAAGTAGGGCCCAGTGCTTAATATAATGGTAAAATCTTGAGCAAACAAGATCTGAGAACAGGGGCTCAAGTCTGAAAGTTGACACTTTGTGCCAGAAAAGAAAGAAAAGAGATAACCAACAAAGTTTATGTTTATATCCAGTCCACCCCTCCCAAGACCCCAGATAGCTGGGACCATCATTGGGTATTGGCCCCTTTAACAAAGTACAAAACCACATGAATAATCATCAGACATGCAATATCATATTATGTATCAGTTCCATGAAAGAAATTAAAATGCTTTTTGGATGTTCAGATATAAAATATAGAACAAGTTTTTCAAAATAGAAAAGATACATGCAAAAGCTTGTAAGTTACTAAAGGCAAGAGCCATGTGCACACCGAGCGCCCTTTGCAAGAGCATCTGCTGCAGGCTGTGATCTCCCACACTCAATGTATAATTCAGATGCCCTTCTGTAAAAGTCAGCAACTTCATTCCAGCTGCCTAGTTCTTTTGCTGCAGCACCAGCAGACTCCATATGCTTAGCAGCATCCCAAGGTCTATTAGACTTGTAAAGGGATACAGTTAACAAGCACAGAAATCAAACAATAAAATAAGACCAAGCACAGAAATGTGTTATCCAAGCAAATGAGGATACGATGAAAGCATCTCCTGTCCCTTCGAAGCCTTCTCAAATGCTGTTTTTGCTCTCTCATAATTTTTAGCAATCTTAAAGCCAATAGCTACAAAAAAAAAAAAATACTTATCAGAAAACCCCACTGAACATTAAACAAGTCAAGAAAATTATGAAAAACAAATACATTTACATAAATGGCAACTACCAACCAGCCTGCTCATATAGGAGAGTGGCATTCCTCCAATCAGCACTCCACCGTGTAAGAGTAAGTTTTGTTCTGAGAAAATTAAGAAAAGAAAAATGAAGAAAAAGATAAAATTATAACAATTTCAAGAAAAAATCATAAGTAACAAACATGAACTGAAAGAGATTCTCATACATGTTTTTGTCCACCCATTAAGAAAATCATATTTGTTAGTATAAAAAAAAAACTTACAACCATTCCCCTATTTTGATTTTCTATTTATACCAAAAAATTCTATGTGATAAGAGAAATGACAGAATAGTGGCCATATGGAACCAGCAAAGAGGTTAAGAACTACAAACTCTGAGCCATTACATGATCTAGAACAAACACAATTAACAATTACAAAAGTTATGACCTTGGAGCATGTCCCCTTGATCGCAGATCATGTGGCATAATCATTGGATTCTTTTTTCTTGGGAGCAAAGAGTACACAAGATAAGAGATAGGTAGAGGTGGCAGACAAACGAGGTGATGTTTGTCATGCCAGTCATAGGAGTGTATTTGGAGGTTGGAGAAAGTTTTTGGTGCCATAGAAGTTAGTTTTCATCAGGTCTATCCTTTTTCGTTACTTTTATCAGTAATAACAAGAATTTAGCAAGAAGAAAGTTTTCAAGGTGCCAATGCGAAGCTAGGTGACAGGGGGGCTTCCTTTTCACCTAGTCACCTAGGTGATATTTCAAGGTGCCAATGCGAAGCTAGGTGACAAGGGGGCTGCCTTTTCACCTAGTCACCTAGGTGATGAGTCTTTTAAAATAAAAATATAAAAATCAAGGTGGTCCTCTAGGTTTCATAATGATGAGCAGTAATCATAAACTAATAATTACCATAATTCTCATAAAATAAGTATAACCCTCATATCAAAACATGGAAAATCAACATATTTATGAGAATCAAAAGAAGAAACAAAAGATAAAATATAAAATATAGGGGTTGTGCTCCCTTGTTTTTTCTCAACATATTTATGAGAAGAAATTTCCTCGTTGCTCGTATGTTGATTGGATAAAATCTTCAAGTTCTTTACTTATCAGTTCAAGTCTTAAAGAACTCAAGACTAGGGAGAATGACTAATCAGCCCAGATCAGAATTTTATAGCCCCAAAGTACAGGGTGAATGCATCCTGACCATGAATTGATGCCAAATTCACGGGCAAGATGTAGTTTATAGGGGGGGAGAGGGCTAGTAGTAGGGGGGGGGGGGGCTGGAATTCAGAGTTCTGCATCGGGTGTATCCGTACTTCTCCGCTCATGACTATGTCCCCAACTAGTATGTTGATTGAACCCAAATAAATAAATAAATAAATAAAAAGAAACTATTATAAGAATTACAAAAATACTATAGACCCACAAAAATGAATAAGTTAGTGCAGTAATATCTATTTTAATAGTATAATATCATAAAGTAAAAATAATAAAATATTATGTGGCACCTAATACAAAAACATGTAGGCACTTGGGCAAGACAACGCTCCAATAGTGACTTCTTGCCTGGGAATTGCCTTGACAACTTCATTAAGAATTAACATGGGGAAATGGAGAAGGAAAAACAAAAACTCAACCCAATCCCCAAAAAAGGCCTAGAAGCCTCAACTGTGCAACAAAACCTCATCCCATAGAAATTAGCATGCCAAGACCCAATAAGTTATGGTTGTCTTTATTCTTGAAGATTTAGTAGAAGAAAGATGAAGAAAAAGAGAGAAGGAAGAAAGAAGGAAAATAGAAAGAAAAGAGAGAACAGTTTATGCAAGAAAGAAATCAAAATAGGGTTGTCACACTTCTCATTCACTTTTGTTAAATTGCATATTAACCACTGCTTAACAAATTGATTAAAATACCCCTATAGCAATACATGCATAGTCTTAACATTTACCCTCAAGCTGAGCATAGATATTCCACACACCCAACATATAAATTATCTTCAGACTTAGGCCTCGTGACTCCCTTCCTGAGCAATCAGCCAATTGAGAATTTGACTTGACAAACAGCAAGTAAGGCCATGTTTGGTTCAATTGTCATTCTTTCTCATTCTTACCCAAGATGAAATTCTAAGATGGAAAGGAATGAGTAAAAATGGGAAGAATGAGATAGACATACAACCAATGAAAGTTGAAACACTAACCTTTTGTAAGTTAACTTCTTAAAAAAAATTAATGTATTAAATTTCATTGGCATAGAAATAATGGCATAGACATATTTCAGATTTTGATAGGTTTTAGCCTTTTTTTTACTTTAATTCTCCTTGCATGCTGAATATTGGTAGTTCTGTCCTGACTTGAAATAAGTATACCTTCTTTGGCTTGGTGGTCTTGTCTTTCAGGCATACGACCAACACCTGAATATGATACTAGGGGATGTTGAAGAAATCATCAAATTGATGATGAAACTTATGAAGAGATTGTTCGGGTATTACATATTGCACTTTTTTTTGTTAATTGTGAAACAAATAACTAAAAATGAATATATGCCAATGATGAGAGTAGAATTTATCACATTTTTATCCCCAAATATTCTGTCTTGCATACTTAATTAGTACTTAATTGGACTCATATTTCTTGTATTTCGGTTCAGGGCATGAAAGAAGGCATCAAGAGCAAAGAAAGGCAAATCGGATGATTTTTCACAGTTTCGACACCGTTCAGTAATCTGGGTCTAACTCGTGTATCCGAACTCCAATTGGGCTGATTCAAGACCCACTGGATAGATATGAGAAAAAGCCACAACTTTCATGTTTTGGGCTTTCGCAGATTCGGCCTGCATCGAAGTCAAATCCGGGCCTGAAGTCGGGGAAAATTCGTAGGAAGGCCCAATCCGCAGCTTAAGCCCAACTTGYARAAAARCCTRGCAGCAGCCCAATTCGYAGAGGAGGTCTAATACGAATCCAAGAACAAGAAACTGAGAAGAGTCTTATCAGATCTAAATTTATGATATAATCCCATAAAGATAAAGAGATTGAATTCATT